GAGCACAGTCGAGCCGAGCGTTCAAAACGAGCATTCGATACGCCTCACCAGTTGTGGTGTAATGTAACATGCTCGCCGCGAATGTTACATTACAAGTAAATGTTACAAGTCAGTCGCCACCTTTACAAAGTTTTCTTGAAGTTCCCCTTCTGATAGTGTAAGTTTCATTTGTGTTTGCCAACTTCTCAGATCGCTTGTGTTCATCCTGAAATTCAATTTTGTTCCAAAATACGGTATTATTCATTCTTGATCCCCAGTTTGTTTGAATTCCAGGAACTTCATGTGTTCACGAACTGCACCAGCTCAGACCAGTGTAACAAATGACAGTACCGGTTCGTTGTGTTATGATTTTTCTGTTAATATTGTGCTAGATGGTGCTCATCACTTGGCTGGGAATGACTCTAGCTGTGTATTTTTTTTCCCTTTTGTTTTGCCAAATTGCCAATCATTTCTGAGGCATGTTGGCTTCTTGTTATAACAGTGTTATTTTGTGTGTTATTGAGTAGGACTTCCTTATCCTAACATTGCTCAAAAATTAAACGTCTTCTTGCTAGCTTGAAGGTGCATGTGATATTTCTGATTATGTCTCAGTTTCTGTATGAATCTGACTCGTGCATGTATTACTTAGACTTCGAGCATTTTATTCAAGAGAAGGTTACACTTTACTGTCATAGACCTTCCCTCATCCATAAAAAAATTCTGATAGATAAATGTGATAAGCATGGAGATTGATTGATTGATTGATTGATGTAGGAGCAATTCCATTTTGAACAGACCTCAATAATCTTCCACCGTGCATGTATTTTACTCATTGACTTATCCTTGTTTTCCAAGACGTGCCTTTCCATTGAAACGTGCCTTGTGCAGAATAGATTCACCACCCGACCAATAAGTGTTTCTTCTTCCATTTCTCGACCGTTACTTCAGTCTTCCGGTGCCTAATATTTTCTTCCATTCTTCTCTATTATCCCATCCTTCCGGAGGTAGTTTCCACTCTATCATGGTCTCGGTCCACCTCCCTTCTCTCTTTTGGTTGCTATTTCATAGTCTTCTTTGGTAACCTTTCCTCCTCCATCCTTTGCACGTGTCCGTACCAAATCAGTTGTCTTTTCTCTATCTCCTCAATTATATCTCAATCCATCCTAATGATTTCTCAAATCGTTTCGTTTCTCACTCTCTCTCTTCTGGAAAATCCAGTGTTTTTGTTAAAATTAAAGTAAATAATGTCACAGAAACTTTAAGGCGCAGTGGATTAAATAAAATCTGAGGTTAACATAGGTCTATTTGGCTATCATCCAGACATTGAGACATGCATCCTTCTGAGTTGAGTTGCTTATATTCGGTGTAAGCATTCTGATGTGGTTTAAAGTTCACTAATTTTTATTAACAGTCGGTACACAACAGAATATTATAATATTTTGATGTGATGACCATTAATTAATAAGAAGTAGTGAACTAGTGTTGAATGTTGGACTCGTAGGATTACGTATGTAGTGTGTTAGTAAAACCAGTATAAAATATTTTTACTGACAAGGTGTTACCTTCTATGTGTCATGTAAAGTGTAGCATGAGTTGACGAGCAACGACCTTTGCCATGCTCATTTAAATGTCAACATGCTGTTACTGATGCCATGAAATATCACATTACCCTCCCTCAAGTGTGCATGAATTTTATCATCATATCTGCTATGTTCTGCTCTGCTCTGCTGTGTTGCCATGCTCCACGTGACGTGACGTAGGTATTTGGTATGCCTGTTCAGTAGTTTGACAACCTGTGTTGTGTGTAGGAACTTTGTGGCTTCACGTCGTCCACCTGTGCATCCTACCAGACCCCTGGCTTGTGGTGCCATCCCGCAGAGTCATCTGCAGCATGCTGCACGTGAGTTATGCAAATGTCTGTGTATTTATTATGTACCATATTAGATATCCCAGTAAGTGGCGGTAAGTAAGAACATCTTTCTCTACTTTTTCCTGGCTCTTGGAGAGTCTGAAAGTTGCAAGAGTTGAACATGTAAGCAAACAATATTCTAGAGGACAGGCATTTCCATACTTACTGCTGTGAGAACCTGGAGTTACAAAGATAGCATTTAATAAGAGTAATCTTTTACCCGGTGTCCTACGTGAGCGAGTTGCGTGGGTGAAGCAGAAATATCAAACTGGCTGTTCGTGTGGCGCTGTCCTAGGTTCCAGCGAAGCGGTCAGGAGAGGGAAGCGGCCAAAGTCCGCTGGCCAGTAAGGCGCATGCACAAGAAAGCTCTGACCGTGCAGTACACGGAAGGTGCATGCGCAGGAAGGCCGTGTGCTTCTATTGTGGTCCCTCACGTAGGACACAACAAGCGATTCCCCGCTTCATATGACACCCCATGCTGCTTATGCAGTTCGCATAGCTCGCTTGTTATCGCTTATGTAGAACATTGCCTTAGAGTCTGGATTTAACTGTGTTTGGACTGAAGACTGTTATGTTATAAAACAAGTTGTGTTATTTTGTTGATTAGAAGTGCTGTAATTCATGGAAATAACTTGGGTATACAAGGGGCATTTATGAATTTTCCTGTGTATAATCAATATGTGCTACAGACAGAAATAGTTGCATCTGTTGTTACTAAGTGTAATTATCTCGAAGGTCATTTCACTTTTTCCATTAGTGAGCTGAATGATTGATTGCAACACTCAAATTGTCTGTGCTAATATGGCGTAATGCTACTGTGAGACATATTGATGGCATCAGTAAATACAAACTAGTGTCATCAGAGTGACTTTCTAGAGTGTACAAAACGTAATCACATGCGAACAGGTGTATGGAATGAAGAGTGTATGACATTACTGCCTGAGCTCTCTATTATAGGAAGATTTGCACATGATAATTGATTTCTGGAAGAGAATGGTGCTGATTTAGTTGTTCCTTAACCACGCAGGTTGCACCGTATCATATGTGTTACGTAATAACAGCGGTATCAAGTATCGATCACATGATAGATTTTGGGTCTCCAGCCTTCCTTCAACAGATTATGACACTTATGGGGGAGGGTTTCTTCGCACCACACATCAACCAAAAATCCGTGGCGTAACAGCTCCAGAGAGCCAAAGCCGACTAGCTTGACTGCTGGCCTCACGTTCACATGCCTAAGCAGAGGTGAATGATCATCCAACCAGATATAGGGTGACGTGTGGTCAGCACGACGAACCCCCAGCCATCGCTAGCTATCCTGACTGGATTACGCTACTTATTGTAGCTCCCCAATTTCCCCACGATGCTGGGTTGGCACCGGTCCCATACACCCGTCGAAAGCTCATGAGAAAATTTCTTCTCCCCTGAGACCCAAACCAGTGCGCATTCCATATCGCCAGTCCGAAACATGATGCCTCAGACCGCGCAGCTACATCAATCTAAGGGGAATGCAAATCTGGCACCATGATACAAAAAAAAAATTAAATTCCCCTTGTAGGTTTTATCTGTTAGGAGACCTTTCCTGTTCATTCTACACTGCAGTATATAGTAATGTAATGTGAAATAACAGTTGATTGTGTATGTGCAATTAGTTACTAATCTGCATGGTGTGAAGCATGTTGCGGTGTGTTACAGTGGGCTCGACTGCAGGGCAGACCCTCTCAGCATCCCACCAGGCTCACTCTCGTCAGACACCTTCACCTCTTTCACATATATCAGGTAATTTTTATTTAAAGTTTCAGCATCCAGAGAAAGTAATGTTTGTAGCTCGGAGACAGAAAGACAAACATTTCTGTAATATCTGAAAAGAAATGTTAATAGTTACTTCCATCCAATAAATTGGAACTCATAAATGAACAGTAGTATGCAAAATGGAAGAAAATTTATCTTGTCCGTCAGTTGTAATATTGAAATTACTAACTTTTCTATTCTGCTGTGTCAGTTTTATGTACGTTGTTAAATTTCTTCTTGCACTTTAGTTTGAGATAAAATTCAAGCTCATGAATCAGAAGGCTGTGAATTCTGTTTATGCAAAGGTTGTGGTGTGACACCAGGTGCAGTTCAGTCACGTCCAGTTGAACCGCTGTTTGTAAGTGTTCCACCTCGTCCACAGCGACTTCTACACTCCGAGGCTTATATTAAGTGAGTAAAACATTGTAATAATACAATTGGTTGAACTTAATGTATGACTATAGAAAGGGAAGTTCCAGCATGGCATCTGATGGGTAAAGTTTGATGGTTATTGAATTATTGATTTTTATGACAATTCATAATATTGGTTTCTATGAGTCCCAGAAAAGAGTAACCTTGCTTTGAAGAAGAACTATTATTCTTTACTTTTACTTAGAACTTACTCATCAAAACTAATTCCATGGAGCCAGAAGCTAATAGTCAGTCTGCATTATGCGCATGTTATTGAACCTGAAAGTGTGTTTACAAGAACCTTCAATTATAGAATTTAATATTTTTATTATTATGCTAAATAGTGTCAGGAACTGGAAAACAAATTAGTGAAACCTTTGCTGTAACTTACTCATTTATCCAGATGGAAAAGGACATTAATGAGGACTAAAGATTGGTGTTAGATGTAACAGAAGAATTTTATTAGTGGTACTGGTGCAGTACAGTGTACTGAGCCATTAGAATCAGACAGCAGCAGATAACAGTGTAATTGAGATGTTTACCTGTGATGGTGATGACGTCTGGATTCAGGAACATCTAAAATGCACAGTTAATGAATTTTTTTCTCCATATGCTGTATTCATACAATGCATTAGCATGAGTTATAAACTAAAAAAATCCCATTGCACCTCTTAAGCAAGCATGCTTTATATGATTTAGGTATATAGAAGGCCTGCAAGCTGACAGCAAACATATATCACAATGGGACAAACATCTGAAAGCAACACAAGACACCACAAGTGTCCCTGACCCGTCTCGTTTGCCTGCTCAATGGCTTGGAAACGGTGTGGGGCATCATGGAAATATTGTTAATGCTTTGTGGACACTGCGTGACTTCATGATGCGAGATGCACTTGGAATCAACAGAGTTATATAAAAACCTGCATTAACCATTTGCTGTTACATTAAAGTACCTTTGGATGCTGATGGACTGGTAGGTAATGTATTACTGTAAATCCATAATTTTTACTTTACTTCCTCCTAGAGAACAAACACGTCTTACAATACAGATTCATTGCACCAATTCAGGATATTGATGGATGTAACATTTAGATATATATAATTTTGTTTTGTGTGACAGACTCATTACTAATTGCTTTGAATATCAAATATTAAAATAAAGTCATCAATAAAGTTTACACTATTTTGACATTGCTGTTCCTGGGAATATTAACATCCAATGCAAGAAATTTCCTGTTTTGTAGTCAGATCCTTTTATGTGAAATCCTCATCTGTAAGTGAACTCTGACCTTGTGCAACATTGCTAATGCATCAAGTACAGGTCAGGGAAATTTATCCTATTGTGAATATTTTACCAACACAAAATGAAACTTCTTCAGAATGTGGCAGCTACATGTGTGCAATTTAATGATACAGTGCAACGTCAGTGTAATACAAATTTTTAGAATTCAGAAAAATGCTTGCAGATGCTTATAATATCCAAAAATGATTGAAATACACAATCTTAATGCCTGAATCCTAGTTACTAATTATGTTGTATCACAATACTGCACCAACTTAAAAGTGGAGGGGGAATGCTATGTTATCACACTCGCCTTGAGGACCTGAGATCACACCATGAATATTTGTTATGATTATCTGTCGTGCGACGATTATTGGTAAGAACCCGTTGTTTTAATATGTGGTTTTAACATCGTTATATGATCAATAAAGTCTTGTCATTTTTGGTAGTAACCATGGTATCACGTCCATGTGGTGCAATCCTGTGTACGTTAGGTTTGTTATGTTGGAAGTACGTGATGGATACTCTGTGTTGGCATTATTTGTGGTGTTAGCTATGATCACAGAAACAGTAATACTATGATCTGTGTTTCCAAGAGTGGTGAGATAGGAAATATTAGTCTACCGGCATGTTGGTGGTCGGTGGTTTATCGTAAGTTTTGGTATGAATTTGTATATTCATATGTTGGTTATTGTGCATAAGTGTTAAGTGGTGCATGCATTAGTTGGAACAGTGTTCGGAAGCCATGTATAGATTCTACTATTTTGATGTGTCGTTGTTAGTATATAATTTTTGTTTCTTAACTCTGTTTTAGGATTAGGGTATTTGATGAGTTTTATAGTTTCAGTTGCCTCAATTTCGTCATGCACTGAAGGAACTTGCCAGTTGATAATAACTTTCGTTTCCTAACTTCGTATAATTTTCGTCAGTTACTGTAATCGAAGTTCGGATTACTGCATGCTAGTCTTGCCAGCCTCACTACAACTTAGATATGTTATAATAAGTCCAAAAATATGTATAAAAAACGAGTACTGGAACTACCATTAAGTAGAACTCGGCAACTTTCTGTTGGTCAGTGAAAGACGAGCAACGTAATTTCCTTAATATCTCTACACGTGAGAATTTAACATAAGTGGGATAATCCTCAAAACATATTAAAACAAGCAGCAAAAGAAATTTAAGTAATGAAGAGAAAATTGGATATATACTGAACATTAAAACACAAAAAGAGATTTTTTAAGAACTTATTTACATTCCATAGGCCCTTCATATGCCCAAGCCAAGGATGCAGAATACGTCATAGCACAAATACAGGACTTATTTCTAATGCAAGGTGAATTCTGTTTATGCAAAGGTTGTGGTGTGACACCAGGTGCAGTTCAGTCACGTCCAGTTGAACCGCTGTTTGTAAGTGTTCCACCTCGTCCACAGCGACTTCTACACTCCGAGGCTTATATTAAGTGAGTAAAACATTGTAATAATACAATTGGTTGAACTTAATGTATGACTATAGAAAGGGAAGTTCCAGCATGGCATCTGATGGGTAAAGTTTGATGGTTATTGAATTATTGATTTTTATGACAATTCATAATATTGGTTTCTATGAGTCCCAGAAAAGAGTAACCTTGCTTTGAAGAAGAACTATTATTCTTTACTTTTACTTAGAACTTACTCATCAAAACTAATTCCATGGAGCCAGAAGCTAATAGTCAGTCTGCATTATGCGCATGTTATTGAACCTGAAAGTGTGTTTACAAGAACCTTCAATTATAGAATTTAATATTTTTATTATTATGCTAAATAGTGTCAGGAACTGGAAAACAAATTAGTGAAACCTTTGCTGTAACTTACTCATTTATCCAGATGGAAAAGGACATTAATGAGGACTAAAGATTGGTGTTAGATGTAACAGAAGAATTTTATTAGTGGTACTGGTGCAGTACAGTGTACTGAGCCATTAGAATCAGACAGCAGCAGATAACAGTGTAATTGAGATGTTTACCTGTGATGGTGATGACGTCTGGATTCAGGAACATCTAAAATGCACAGTTAATGAATTTTTTTCTCCATATGCTGTATTCATACAATGCATTAGCATGAGTTATAAACTAAAAAAATCCCATTGCACCTCTTAAGCAAGCATGCTTTATATGATTTAGGTATATAGAAGGCCTGCAAGCTGACAGCAAACATATATCACAATGGGACAAACATCTGAAAGCAACACAAGACACCACAAGTGTCCCTGACCCGTCTCGTTTGCCTGCTCAATGGCTTGGAAACGGTGTGGGGCATCATGGAAATATTGTTAATGCTTTGTGGACACTGCGTGACTTCATGATGCGAGATGCACTTGGAATCAACAGAGTTATATAAAAACCTGCATTAACCATTTGCTGTTACATTAAAGTACCTTTGGATGCTGATGGACTGGTAGGTAATGTATTACTGTAAATCCATAATTTTTACTTTACTTCCTCCTAGAGAACAAACACGTCTTACAATACAGATTCATTGCACCAATTCAGGATATTGATGGATGTAACATTTAGATATATATAATTTTGTTTTGTGTGACAGACTCATTACTAATTGCTTTGAATATCAAATATTAAAATAAAGTCATCAATAAAGTTTACACTATTTTGACATTGCTGTTCCTGGGAATATTAACATCCAATGCAAGAAATTTCCTGTTTTGTAGTCAGATCCTTTTATGTGAAATCCTCATCTGTAAGTGAACTCTGACCTTGTGCAACATTGCTAATGCATCAAGTACAGGTCAGGGAAATTTATCCTATTGTGAATATTTTACCAACACAAAATGAAACTTCTTCAGAATGTGGCAGCTACATGTGTGCAATTTAATGATACAGTGCAACGTCAGTGTAATACAAATTTTTAGAATTCAGAAAAATGCTTGCAGATGCTTATAATATCCAAAAATGATTGAAATACACAATCTTAATGCCTGAATCCTAGTTACTAATTATGTTGTATCACAATACTGCACCAACTTAAAAGTGGAGGGGGAATGCTATGTTATCACACTCGCCTTGAGGACCTGAGATCACACCATGAATATTTGTTATGATTATCTGTCGTGCGACGATTATTGGTAAGAACCCGTTGTTTTAATATGTGGTTTTAACATCGTTATATGATCAATAAAGTCTTGTCATTTTTGGTAGTAACCATGGTATCACGTCCATGTGGTGCAATCCTGTGTACGTTAGGTTTGTTATGTTGGAAGTACGTGATGGATACTCTGTGTTGGCATTATTTGTGGTGTTAGCTATGATCACAGAAACAGTAATACTATGATCTGTGTTTCCAAGAGTGGTGAGATAGGAAATATTAGTCTACCGGCATGTTGGTGGTCGGTGGTTTATCGTAAGTTTTGGTATGAATTTGTATATTCATATGTTGGTTATTGTGCATAAGTGTTAAGTGGTGCATGCATTAGTTGGAACAGTGTTCGGAAGCCATGTATAGATTCTACTATTTTGATGTGTCGTTGTTAGTATATAATTTTTGTTTCTTAACTCTGTTTTAGGATTAGGGTATTTGATGAGTTTTATAGTTTCAGTTGCCTCAATTTCGTCATGCACTGAAGGAACTTGCCAGTTGATAATAACTTTCGTTTCCTAACTTCGTATAATTTTCGTCAGTTACTGTAATCGAAGTTCGGATTACTGCATGCTAGTCTTGCCAGCCTCACTACAACTTAGATATGTTATAATAAGTCCAAAAATATGTATAAAAAACGAGTACTGGAACTACCATTAAGTAGAACTCGGCAACTTTCTGTTGGTCAGTGAAAGACGAGCAACGTAATTTCCTTAATATCTCTACACGTGAGAATTTAACATAAGTGGGATAATCCTCAAAACATATTAAAACAAGCAGCAAAAGAAATTTAAGTAATGAAGAGAAAATTGGATATATACTGAACATTAAAACACAAAAAGAGATTTTTTAAGAACTTATTTACATTCCATAGGCCCTTCATATGCCCAAGCCAAGGATGCAGAATACGTCATAGCACAAATACAGGACTTATTTCTAATGCAAGTATAAATTACATAGTTGTGACAGTAATTTACAGTCAACTGCAATATTAAAACAACAATAATAGCATCATCCGCAAAAAGTATGGGTTTAGACTGAGAGTTAATGGTTGGGGGTTAATCATTGATATACAGGTAGGAAAAGCAGAGAACCAAGTATTGGACCTTGAGGGCCCTGGTATTTTATAATGTCCAAATTTTAATAGGTGATATGATTTAAATATGCATAATAGAAGGTGAAACAGAATACAGAAATAAAATAGCCATAGCAAGAAGGGAAGTGAGGAAAAGATACAACCATAATTACTTTAATAGTCTTCATCTTCAGGAAGAACTTGGGACGTAGTTTGCTTCTTCAGATATGCATTTGCGATAGAGGTACTGTGCATTTGTCCAGACTTATTTAGAAAAGCCACGGAAATCCTGTTTTCAAAGCTGGCTTTGGGAATTAAATTTGACATTTTGCTATTCTGCTATCCCATTTTGTGAGAGTCTATATTGAGCTATAGGAATGTATTTTATTAAAGTCCCTGCAATTTCAATTTGTTCGTTGTACTGGTAAGGTCAACTTTTTTTTTCTGCTTTCAGAGAACTGGAGCAAGACACCACAGAAATAAGTGCTGTGTATTTCAAGAATCATGTTATGCATTTATTGAATATTCTCTTTGGCGAGGTTGGTTTACAGAAATAATTTATTTTGGAGCAAGAAGTCATGTCAGTTTTACATACTGAGACCAATACATGACCTAGGCATAGGTAGAAGGATAATATTAAAATGGGTCTCAGAGAAATAGGATTGTGACTTCATTCAACTGGATCTATGTAGGAACTTCTGGCAGGCTGATGTGTATTTGCTAAACAGTCTTTGGTTTTCAATAAAAGGCAGGGAATATCTTGATCTCTGGAGGCAGTATTAGCTTCTGATTTTAGACACTGTTCAATGGAGTTCACTAGATGGCATTGAGTCAAACATATTCAGATGTTTTTTGCCCTTTCTTTTCCAGTGTCTGTGAACATTAAGATTGTACTGGAAGACTGGGATATTCCACCTGTTGGTTTTGCAATATGGCAGTGGATGCTCCTATAATTTTTTGGTCACTCTATTAGGTGTTTACACTATACCGTTTCCTTTTAATACAGAATTTTATTTTCTGATTTTTTTTCCAGTGCTAGTAGGCATTTTTACATTTGAAGATATCCGTCTTCTACTCACCGCTGTGAGAACCTCAAGTCTTACATTTTTACATTGTCAGTGACAGTTTAGTTGGTAGTATGTTTGGCTGTGATATGGGTGGTTGGTATTCAATTTTCATTGGGTGAGTTTTTAATGGCTTCGGAGGCTTTAAGATTTTTGCATTTATTTGTTTTTTCCATTATTCACTTTTGAGAATGTGGTGAGTGATATGGAATTGTAACTGTTTGTTTTGATACACTTCAAGAGTTTTTAAATATTACTTTATAAGTTGCATTGTTTTATTGCTAATGTATTTTGTCAGTGTCTGTCAGACTTTTTTTACTCCTTGAAGTCTTGAACCCAACCTGCAGTTTTCTTGAAGGGGGGCTGATTATTGTCATGTTCATACTGACATGTTCCACATCCTTGGCTTGTTCTGTGAGGGACCTGTGGAAATCAGATACATTCTGATTTCCGACATTTCACATTGAGAAACTGACTTTTTACATACATGGCACACATGTACCCCTATATACACAGATATTGAAGTTTATATGTTGATAGACTAATATTTAATAAAATGAATCATAAGTATAAGTTACTGAATTGTAAATATTGGTTTTTAACACTTTACCAAGACGCAAATCCTTGACTGTGTGTTCAGATAATGAATGTAACAATAGAAGTTAAATTTTCATCTTGTGGTCCATCACATAAAATTCTGTCAACAAAAATGTGCTGAGAAAATTAACGTGTTGACTCTGCGTTGATGCATAACAACAGATGGTTTCGATTTTGTCGTGAAATAAGTAAGATGGGAAGAAGACAGAATTATTACTGAAAACTTTTGAATATAGTTCAGTAGACTAATTCAATAGTGATTTATGACTTTACAATTCATAAATGAATTACTGTAAGTTTATAAATAAATTTATTATTACAATTTCTGAATGCCCTGAGGTCCCAAAAGTTAATCTGATGCATAAGTACACATGTATAATTTTCTGAGGACCAGTCAACACAAGTTTATTTTTTCTCTCTCTCTCCAGGATGGTGCGAGTACCGCTGTTGACGTACTGAAATACGACGAATTGTCTCGGCGAGCTATACTGCGTTGTCCAAGTGCCTCATATGTCAAGTTACGAAGTTCTTTGACCTTATGTGAAAAATTCAACAACATTCGCTGTGTGTACAGGATTCGCAACAGTTCTCCTTGTCTGCTGTCATTACTGAATACAAGCAGAGGTTATAATCATTACTAAATATTTCGTGCCTGTTTTATTTCTGTAGCCAATTTAGTCACTTATTTGATCTTTTGAGACTTCTGTATTTTTAATTTATTCCTGTGACAGTAAGAAGTGCTGAATTTTTTTTGGACATTGTTTAAAATAAGTACCCACTATGCCAGTAACATTTCAGAAAGGTAAGGATACAGTGATTTTTGTTACTAAAGAAGATCACTCGACACCGAGCACTGTTAGTTTACCACACGAGGAGTCTCCTCCAGGTCTTATATTACGTGATGGCTCTATCAACTGGAGCTGTCCTTGTTTGGGTGGCATGGCGACAGGTCCTTGTGGAGTTGAATTTCGAGAAGCTTTTTCATGCTTTCATTACAGTGAAGCTGAACAAAAGGGTAGCGATTGTTACGAGGCATTCAAAACTATGCAGGATTGCATGGCACAGTACCCTACCCTTTACAACAAAAATGGTGATGAGGATGAATTAGAAAATGCTTTAGATACTAATATTGAACAAGAAGGAAACAAAGACAATAGAGAGGTGGAAGTGAAAAGTTCCTCATCATCGTCATCACCATCTTAACATGTTAATAGTTTAGTTAATGTAATGGTAGTAATAATATAAGAGAAAACGAAGAGTAGTGTGTTTTTGCTTGAAGAAGGTTAATGTAAATTAACCCAGAAGATCTCAAAGAAAATAAATAAGATTTGAGGTTCTTACAGTGGCAAAATGAAGATGGCATTCTTCTGGGTTTCGGTTCTGCCACACTACACAGCTTTAGAACCCAAAAGACATTTTTTTCTTCAGAATAAAGAAAATGTTTTAGTGTAATACTTGTTTAATGGTGTTTTGCAGCAACTGTTAGTATTTGTACTTCATATTCTAAAGTCTTGTATTAAACTACTTTGTTTGTTTGTGTATGATTCGTAGAAATTTTATATGACAATTTTTGCTCTCGCCTTGGTTCTGAAAATATGCATTTCACAGTTGGAACAATCATAAAATAATGCAAAAATCTTTCAGTAAGATTTGCAGATGAAATAAGCATGTAATATGTGTAGTTTGTATCCTGTGGTTTCTGTAGAGTGTTCAAATTGGGGAAATAATTTTATGAAGAACTGGAAGTCTGTCTTTGAGTCTGGGCAGCTGCTTAACAGTGAATGCTACAAGATTACAGCTTTACAAGATAAGAATGTATGAAACCCTACAGTATCGAAAATGTGATATAATAAGTACAGCATTTTCATATTTTTCTGTGATTTCTTCAGGGATGATTTGATGTGTTAAATGAAACTGTATCTAAGATCATTCTAACTGAACTCATTATCAAAATATTTTAAGTGTTTTTCGCTAGTATCGGTTCACAGCCTCGAATTGTTGTGATGAGATATAAAAAGTTAATGTAACTTTGCATCTCATACTTTAAAAAAATATTTTCATAAATTTTGTGATTTGTTAGTTACATTACAGTCATTTTAATTCCACATCTCTAGTGCCATTTAATGTTATAGTCCTCCTCTTTAAGGCCACAAATATATTAATCTTCAGATTACACTTTTGCTCGATAATTGAAAATGTACATGCGCGTAGTTTACACTGTGAAATGTAGCACAGTTGAATAATAAATGTGCTCCACATTATAATACAAGAGAGAGACCACAGAATTAATTAAATCAAAAGGTTGCAACAGATGGTGTACTTTAATAAAGCCATAGCTTTTACAGCAGAACTTGCATTTTAGGATATAAGAAGTTTAATTTTGAGAATCCTGACTGCTTTATGTTGAGTTTTGCATTTATGTTTACTTTTATATGGTTTTTGTGGTCTGCTTTGTCATTTAGTAATGCAACTTAAGTGTGGAATCACTGCAACTAAGCTTGTGCCTTCATTTGTTTTTTACTTAATCTTTATCCTCTTTTACCTGCAGGTGTCGAGGTTTATATTTATTCATTTGATCTATTTGGACATTGGTAGGACTCCTTGGATGAGTGATCAGCCCATCGCAAGGCCTTTACCTGTACTAACACAGAAAGACGCGGAGAAACATCCATGCCTTGAGTGGGACTCGAACCCACGGTACCAGCGGCCAGGCTCACGGGGCCCATGCCTCAGACTGCATGGCCACTGCGACCAGCTGCCTTCATATGTACATCCTATAAATTAGTACATTTTCTTTTGTTATTTGTTATTATTGGGGTGTGAATAGTTTGACTGTCATATTTTTTAAAAATATTTTACAACACTGATTATATTCTGTTTTTGGCATTTTAGGGGCAGAATGGAGAAGGTTCACTTCTGGCATTTCTAATTAAGAATTGGATGAAAATACTGTAGAATAATGTTCATGATTTTCTGAGAGAAACTTGAGGAGCTTCACTGAATGAACCAAGTTTGGTACTGGTACAGTCTTATATTGTGTAACAGCATAAGTACTAAAAATAATGAGTGATACATTTTTTACATGCTAGGAAACAGAAATAAATTTAGGAAAGAGGAACATGGATGTGTTATGCAAATGAAATCTCACGTCATGTGAAATGTGTAATAATTTCAATACTTAAGATTGAGATATCATGGTATGATTGACAAACCTGTGTGAAAGTATTCTGTAAGAAGATGAATACTGAGTTGGGAGTGTTAATTTCAAATGGATCTGAATTAAATAAGTTGTGGAGGATGTGACTTAGATTGAGCGGTCGGGAAGTGATCCCTTGGTGGACAGTTTCTGGCAGGTCTGGAGCATGTGTGTTGGGTGACACCAAGGATGAAGCTGTTTTTACCTCTTTGTGTGTATGCCACAGTTTCGCAGGCAGAAAGTTGTGTGATTTTGTTATGTGAAAAGGAATGTATAACTAACTAGATGGCTTACCGAACCCGGAGGTTCATCACCGAACTAACCAAAGCCCTCTGGACCCTGTCCTGGGCCAACAAAATCCAGTCTCCTTCAATTCCTATCTCCCATAGATCCTGCCTGAGATTATCCTCACATCTACGTCTAGGTCTCCCCAGCAGTCTCTTCCCCTCAGGCTTCCCAACCAATACCTGGTGCACACCTCTTGTCCCATCCATGCGCTCTACATGCCCAGCCCATCTCATTCTTCTCGACTTAATCACCCTGACAATACTGGGGGATGAGTACAAATTTTTAAGTTCGTCATTATGTAGTTTTCTCCAGTATATGTGGGTATATCTATATGTGTTCAGATAGGTAGTTGTGCAGGCCATAGAGGCATCAAAGGTAGTGTTGAAGCTTATGTGGGATTGCTGATGGGCATTATGCACCTCTGTAACCAGAATAAGGTATGTGGTTATGTTCCCTAAGATTAATTCCAAAATAGCCATTTACATGGACCGACAAGTCTGTATTATGTCTATAAATCCATCCTTGATTTTTTTGATTCTCGCAAAGCTAAATTCCATCATGCCATTGCATGTTCCCCATCGTTGAACTCTTTATTCATAAAATTGATAATAAGATAATATAGCAGCCGTGAGTTTCGGGTGACAATAAATCTCCGAAAAATTCGTTCAAGATATTGCTTACACAGCGTTAACGTTACGTACGAATACAACAGTTTTACGGAAGAACTGCTTGTGTTTTAAAAATTCACACAGAGGGCAGCAAAGTATGGCAAGGTTTACGGACTGACGCAATATCCGTAAGATGGTCTGATACAATACGAGGAGAGAAAGTAGAAGAATATTTGTGGTGCATGCATTTGGAGATCGTATATGTTGTATAAATTGATAACTGTGTTTGTGATTTACTTTGAATTAACCGATTAGTACTGTTTGTGACAAGTTAATAATGGAGACTAAATTGGCGAAGCCTCCGAAGGAGAAACGAAGGTAAGCGATTATCATGTTTCTGTTGATGGCGGACGTAGTAAGATTATTTAGGTCAATGTATTAGCTTCCTTGTGTTGCGAGAAATAAACAGATTTATAACGCATAGAGTGTGTATGTGAATATCATAAACAACCCGTTTCGTTATGTAGGGCGATTGTAGGTTGGCACATTCCCAAATATTCATAAAATCGAAGTCGACAGCCAGATAGTAATGTTATATGTGCTTTGATCTAACGTCACATGTGGATTGTTGTAATTAAGTTTTGTTAAAACTTATTTTCTATGAACCCAGTACACAAAAATTCAATGTACTGTTTTTAAATTAATTTGCTTTGTTATAATAGCCTTGACATTGGGTATTAAAGCATGCCAATGAATTATGGGACAGTTTCTCGTGTTAAATGTATGAACATACTGAACATTCAGGTTCCATAGGAGGCAGGAATTTCTTAACTAGCCGAGTAACTATTATCTGCTATAGAAGAATTGTTCTTCTTAATGTTGCTTAGTCTCATCAAGCACAACAAAAACCTAAACTGTCTGTTACAACAAACTCATCATGAGAGTCCATCACTGGTCCACTACTAGCAGCAAAATGCTTCAAGATTTTCACAATACAATTCAAGTAACACTCCATAAAGACAATTGAATCAACTCAACTATGTTCTAAGATGTGCTGAAAATGCTGTTTGTGAACACCTTGTGTGCACCATCTAAATAGGTTGAAGAGGAAATGTTGATTAAACTCCAGTACTGATTGTTTTTGAGGAAATTTCTGTGCATATTAAACCACTTTTTACCAGAAAAATTGTCAAATGAGAATCAACTTCACCATCATGAACTGATTTGAAAAGCTGGTTGCAGAAATTAATCCTGTAAAGTGACTTTAGTTTTTGCAAATCACTAACTACAGTTGCCTTGTCTTGACTGCTCTCATGTGCAAGGCATCTTGGTGATTTCAGTAGTGTGCTTTCTGACGTATCCCGTAGTTTGCCTAGTTGCCTTGTCTTGACTGCTCTCATGTACAAGGCATCTTGGTGATTTCAGTAGTTTGCTTTCTGACATATCCCCTAGTTTGCCCAGTTTTTATTCTGTAAGCACACAGCATTTTTCTGGCATGTTTCTTTGTCGAGAAGCGACCCAGTAGACCAGACTTTGTTAATATGTTAGTGGATGCCTGTTATACTTGGAACTAGGATTGTGGGAAATTTATTGTGAAACATAATCAGTTACATTCCTGGTTAAAATGCAACCTTCAGGATCTTAATCAGTAATTTTCTGTCTGCGGGAAAAGCCGGATGTGTTGCCGAGTTTTGATTTAATTTAAAGCCTGTAAGAAGTTGAACTATTAAAATATAGTTCTAGAGGAGTGTGCCACTTTTATCACGTGCTCCTTCATAGTTTCTAACAGTTGATAAAACAAGTATGTCAATTTGTCTCTTTGGTTCACATGATTAAGATAAGGTTATGGATTGTGGTCTTTGGTAGGGGGGACAGTCTCCTCTGAAACAATGAGCGCCTACAAGACTCCTCATCGTTATAACCCAGAAGATCACCGCATAAAACTTCACCAATGTCGAAACTTCAAATATCATACAAGATAAAGTTAAGATTCAGAAAAAAAAATTGAATTTTTTTAACGCAAGTGTTAATCATCTTGAACTTTTATTGTCATAGAAGAACTTAGGCAGCATTTATGTTAACAAAACATAGGCCCTGGTTGTAAAGTTTAAATTTTTTAAAAGTAAATGTAGTCATGCTTGCGCATGTGTGTGTATTTATTACTTTAAAATCTGTATGAAGTCCTGCCAATTGGTTAGCGGTTAATAATGGCAAATCCAGATAGAACTCTGGAACAGTTTTTAGTAATTTATTTTCCGTTGCATACCTCTTGAAATATTTTTCATGTGCCGCCCATTATTAAAGAATGAAGACAGTTGAATATGGTTCTTTCACATGATTTATCATAATATTCATGAGAATAAAAGATGTATATTTTAGGTACAAGATATTCATGTACAGATTGCAGAAATTATGATGTATAGAAATTTGTTCTTGTCACAGTCGATCCATCCTCACAGGCTAATCCTGTGCTTGTATAGGTCCATCTAAAGAAAGACAATTAGACAACCGTAGGCCATACTCTTAATGGGTTTTGTTTTCACTTGGGTTTGCTATGTAGATTGAAGCAGTTTCAAGAATTTTGTCTGCAATAGGTTGATGTCATGATAGGTTATTATAGATTCGGAGGCACGGTTGTCAGTACATCGCCCCATCTTTTCACTTTTAATCCCCAATCCCCTTAAAGGCACATCTCCTGTTTCCAATTTCTAACAGTTTATGCTAATGTTACGAACGAGAGAAACGAGCCCATTTGTGTGAAATTGATAGTGATAATGTATTTTAATTTAGAAGCTGTTACGTTGTTGGAATAAGTTTTAATTGAAGACGGCTTTCCTCTGGGGGTTCTGAACCGTGGTGTCTGTGTAGATATTGACCAAATTATCAGAGGTGTTCACTGCCTCCATCATCAGGGCGAGCCCAGAAGACAACCATCTTAATTTTCCTCGCCGTTGAGAACGCGTCGAAGTTTTCAAGGTTAGACAGTGGCAAATACTGATAACCAGTGGTTGTTTATAGGATATGTAGGTAGGTTAATGTGAAGCGTTCAGACTGTGACCGGAATTGCAGTGCGGTGTTTTTTATTTTGTAATTTATTTGAATCTAAGCCCGTAATCCTGTTGTTCGACGACGTATCATGTCACCACGCTATATAGAAAAGGACGCCTGCTCGGCTAGTCTCGAAATTCTCAGCATTTTATGGAAGCTGGAGGTTCATTTTCCACATTTAAATTGTAATTGAGATGGTTGAAGGTCATATCATGGTATAGACAACATCAGTCCATGGGTTTTCCGAATTTAGGCAGTTAAATTTCTCAAGGTCATTCGAAGGTCATTTCTTAAACCGAATATTTCTACCGATCAGGAATGTGAGTGACAATATTAATGTTAGTTTGAGGTCACAGACAGGTCAGTGTCATGTGAAGGTCACGACAATATCAGTTCGTGGGTTAAGCGAGTAGAGGTCTTTGAAAATTTCAAGGCCATTGGGCAGTCACTTTTCCTAACGCATATTTCTGCCTATATGTAATAACCTGTAAAAAAATACTCATGTCAGTTTGAGGTCACAAACAGGTCATCGTCATATCACGGTCTCGACAATAACTGTCGGTGGGTTTTCGTAATTGGGGGCTTTTAAATTTTCAAGTTCATTGGATAGTTATTTTTTGAAAGGAATATATCTGCCGATCTGTAGGAATATGAGTGACCATATTCATGTCCGTTTGAGGTCACGCACTTCTCAGTGTGATGTCAAGGTCACGACATCAGTCCACGTGTTTACCGAATGGAGGCCTTTGAAATTTTCAAGGACATTCGGCAGTCATTTTTTCAAACTGATATTTCTGCCGATATGTAAGAACCTGAATGTACATATTAATGTGAGTTTGAGGTCATGGATAGGTCAACGTCGCCTCAAGATCACGATCAAGATCAGTCCGAGGGTTTACCGAACAGAGGCCTTTGAAACTTTCAAGGTCATTCGGCAGTCATTTTTTTCCGATCTGTATGAACCTGAATGACAATACTCATGTCAGTTTGAGGTCGCACACAGTTCAGTGTCATGTGAAGGTCACGACAATGTCAGTCCGATGGTTTACGGAATACAGACCCTTGAAATTTTCAAGGTCATTCTTCAGTCATTTTTTTTCAAAAGCATATTTCTGCCGAGCTGCTGGAATCTGTGTGACCATATTCATGTCAGTTTGAGGTCGCGCACGTGTCAGCATCATGTCAAGGTCACGTCAATATCGGTACGAGGTTTTACCGAATAGAGGCCTTTGAAATTTTCAAGGTCATTCGGCAGGCAGTTTTTTTCAAACGCATTTTTCTGCCGATCTGTAGGAACCTGAATGTACATATTCATGTCAGTTTGAGGTCATGCATAGATCAACGTCACCTCAAGATCATTAGAAGATCAATCCAAGGTTTTGATGATTATAGGCCTTTAATTTTTCCGCTGAATCCGAAGCTCTGCAAGATGAGAGTTTAGGTCTGTTTCCGGAAACTAGTTCATCTCGCCGTATAGCTACGTGCCTCGTGTCAAGCTGTTTCGTGGAACAGTAGGCAATATCAGTTGCCTTCCGAAGCTGGCAGTGCAAAGCATAATTCGCAGAATTCATTTGGCTAATATCAGCAATAATGTGTAGAGTACTCGACGTCGTAACACAGTAACTTTTTCGAAGGGGAGTACCCTGATTGCACCCGCTAATAGGTGTAACGTTATGTTTAACGAATATAGGACATCAGCTAAAAATTCTTCTCTACAAAGAAGCAGAGATAATTCGGACGCTGAAAGGATAATTTTGGAGTTCATAGTTCAGACTTGTTCTTATGGCCAAAGGACAAACTACCAGATGTGCACATACCAACACGTCTGAACAATTCATCATTGGTACAGAAACTGCTTTCTAAGGGGCAGTGATATCCTGGCAGCAAAGAATGACAACTTTAGATTAAAGCTCAAAACGTTTGCTTCTGAATATTTTTATGTACCTATCCTGCTAATTTTTCTTTGATGTGAAATAGAGAAATTTTCAAATAAATAATATTTTGTTTCGCAATTTTGACTCTGCAAGAGACACGAAGCGTGGCCATTGGACAGATTTAGTGTTTATAAGCAGGTACAGTGCTTAGCGTCGTATGTATTAATATCCTGTACAGTGTTAAAAATAATTTGTGAGGCGTTCTTGGCATACTGTTAAGGGGTCTTCTAGGTATTAGACGAGGTGAACTTGTATAAGTAATTGCGTTGGCATGTAGATTTGAGAGGTCTTAACAACTGTAAAGCTTTTAATTTAACCTAAAAAAAAAGTTTAAGCCTGAGATCTTTGTGTCGATTTTGAGCAAGATGTCGTAGTAATGGTCAGATATGTGGTATA